ATAGATAAAAAGCCGCAGGCAGAGCTAGGGCTTTTGACCTTAAGCCCCTTCAGCGCCTCCAAGCTGCCTACCAAGTGAAGGACCTTTTAGTTTTCCAACACATTTCATCAATAACATTCCATCTGGCTTTTACAACACCCCCTGAAGCAGAAAAGACAGTCAATATGGTTTATATTTTAGAGGTAATACCCAAGAGCCACCAAAGAGGCTTGCCCAAGTGGCTGGTGTGCAAACTTTCTGCCCTAGAGTCCTCCCTCCACACCTCCCCAGCTCTGTGCCTCCAGCCCTCTTGGGGCTTTCTCTCTCTTTTCTTTCAAATTCTGGGCGATCTGAGAGGGAGAGAAGTGTCCCATGCCCAGACGCTTGTAGTTCATAGGAGATAGGAGGAAACGTTCCCCGAAGACTTCCTGTTGAAGATCTGTGTCTGAGGTGCCAGAGCTTGCTGCTGTGGTCAGAGCCTTGCAGTGGCTACCTTGGCTGGGGGGAGGGTGCAAAATAGGGAGCAGAAACCAGACAGCTAGCACCAAAACTACATGACTTCTTCGAGGGTTCTCGGTTCTGACTCATTTGCAGGGCAAAGAGACCATTGTAAAGCCTCTGGCTGTTTTGGGGAGTCTCTCCTAGAAGGTGATTTTGTCTTATATAGGAGTTTGGTGTAGTGATGTGGGGGATCCATAAAGACACTTAAGAAACACTAAAGTCCTAAAGTCTTTAGGAAACAGAGGAAACAAATGGCTGGCTGTGATTGGATTCCATCTGTATCTTCTTTCTTGAAGAAGCAGCGGGAAATTTATAAAAAAAAAAAAAAAAGAAGAAGAAGCAGCAGCAGCAGCGGGAGCCCATGATGTGCTTGGTCACATGGCCTTGGGCAGTAATAACTTACAACCATCATTCTTGGAGCACTGATTAGGAGCCAGGCATCCCACTAAGCACTTTGCTGTTTTGTTTAATCCTCACCACAACCCTTTTAAGAAGATATTTTTATAACTGTTTAAAATGAGGAAGCTGACTTCCTTAGGTAACCTGCTCAAGGTCACATAAGAAGTGGTAGAGCCAAGATTTAAACTTAGACTATTTCATTCTAAAACTAATGTTCACTGTACTCCTTGGCCATGCAGTATTATTTTTTCACCTGAGAAATTAGGAGTCTCTTGACAATCTCCATCCCCAACTTTGGTCTGAGTACCCGCAGACAGAGAACTGGTTTTGATAATGGGTAGTGTCTGCTTCTTAGTACCACTAAACTTGGGTCCACCTGGTCTTTGGTCTGTTTACCTAGACTGAGCAGGCACTACTTTTTCTTCCTGCAAGTTGATGTGTGCTCTGCCCTCTAGTAGTTTCAGCTTGTACTACAACAATGACCTTGAGTGTAACTAACATTAACTTATGGTTCTTTTCTTCCCTTGAATAGGATGTCTTTACAATGCTGGACACGGACACCTTCCCCAATCCGAGGCCAAACTTTTTTTTTTTAAGATTTTATTTATTTATTCATGAGAGATACACAGGAAGAGATGCAGAGACACAGACAGAGGGAGAAAGAGGTTCCATGCAGGGAGCCTGATGGGGCACTGTATCCAGGATCCAGGGATCACTCCCTGAGCCGAAGGCAGACACTCAACTGCTGAGCCACCCAGGCATCCCCAAGGCCAAACTTTATGATGTACTTTTGATTCAGTAGTCTGGGGGGGAGCCCCAGGAATCTGATTTTTTTTTTTTAAGATTTTGTTTATTTGTGAGAGACACACACAGAGAGAGGCAGAGACACAGGCAGAGGGAGACACAGGCTCCTCGCAGGGAGCTCAATGCGGGACTGGATCCCTGGACCCAAGATCATGCCCTGAGTCAAAGGCAGATGCTCAACTGCTGGCCATGCAGGGGTCCCGGGAATCTGAATTCTTAACAAGCACCCCAGTTAAATCTAATGTAGGCCACATCTTGATATAATACTCTGTAACAGCGCAATTCCCAAATTTCCCCCAGAATCCCAACCCAAGCACCATTGGGCTTTGGGGAATCCGGGACCAAATTAACCACTCCCTTTCGCCAACCTCAATATTGAGTTTCCTGGCTTGGATAGTCAGGGAGGGAAGCTGCAGCTGCCCAGGCAGTCAGCCCATGCTGAGTGAGGTTAGTTCTTGCTGATCTGGCAGAGAGCAAAGTGAAGGAAGCTAACATTTAGTGCACCGACTGTGGGCCAGTGGGCCAGACACTGTACTAGGTGTTTTCAAATATAATCCTTTTTTAATCCCTATAATAAACCGCGAATTTATTATTCACTCTTTTGCAGATGAGGAAATGGAGGTGAAGAGATGTTGAGTATCTTCAAGTTCACAGCTGGTAAGAGCTGGAATTTGAATCCAAGTTTGTCTAATTCAGTAGTTCTCAGCTGGGGGAGATTTTGGCCCCCAAGGGACATCTGGTAATGTCCAGAGACACTGGCGGTTGTCATAACTGCAGGGTAGGGGTGTTACTAATTTCATCTAGTGGGCCAGGGATGCTGCTAAATATTCTACAAATAACACCCCCCACAATAAGAAATTATCAGCCAAATGTCAATAGTGCTGAGATTGAGAAACCCTGGACTCAAAGCCACTTTTGCCCTGTGGGGTGGGAGGGTGAAAGGAGGGAGAGTTAGCCAAACAAAATGGAGATGGGCCTACCCCAAAAGCCTTGGGTAAGAAGGGGATGGGAATTCCAAGATAAGGATAATGGATAATGGGGGCAGCTGGTGAGGTTTCTCTTTCTTCCAAGCTTGGCCAAGGCCCTGCTCAGTTTCTCCCAGCCTTGCCAAGTCAGTCCTGGGACTTCACACAAGCTTGTCCTGTAATGACCCTGACTCCCAGCTCAGGGCTGGGGTAAAATATTACCTTCCTGCAGGACTTTCCAGTCAAAGCCCTTGGTTCCTGGGATCAGTGCATTCCACCTGCAGCCCCTGGGAAGCTCCACATTAGCACCCTTACTGTGGAGGGTGAGTGTAAATGAAGAGCCTGGTGGCATCTAAGTTAGAAGTGGAGTGAATGGGCTAAGCCAAGGGAGTCCCCTTAGGTGGTCCCTGGCTGGGAAGAAATAAGCCAACATGAGGAGGGAGTAGGGGGGCAAATGGCCTGGGGAGCAGGGTTCTGACCCCAGGAGGCTTGCTTTCCACAGACATTTCTCTTCTCCTGGTTTGGTTTGCTGCTTCACTGGACCTTCCCCAGCATCCATTCCTGGAGCACTCACACACCCAGCCAGCCAAGGTTCTGGACTTCCCCAATACAGGCCCCCTTCTAGACCTGAGAAGGGGGGTCTGAGCTGACAGGAAATAACTCTTGTTCCAAGCTCAGAATCTCTGAAAAACCAGGGGGGGGGGGGGTGAAGGGAGGGAGAAGGGGGGGGTGAAGGGAGGGAGACAGTCTTGGAGTGAAAGAGGAAAGTACAAGCAGGTCCCCCATATTTGGGGTTCCATCTCCTTTCTTCCCTCACAACCAATGAGGGTTGGGGTGGAGGCGTTGGGGTGGGTGGGGGGAATAGGGGGATGGGGGAGGACAGGCCTGGAGGAGGATGTGGTAACAGCTGATTCGTCCCCTGAGGTCACACTTTCCAACAATCAGCTGTTACCGAGGTAGGAGGCAGGAAGTTTCCTTAAAGGCACAATGTTCAGAACACAGGCTGAGAATTCGGGAGCTCCTAGGAACCACGGCGGTTACTTCGTGGAGCCCGTATTTAATACAGAGGAACTATCTCACACCCCAGGCTCATCCTTCTGGCTCAGTTACCCTCACACTCAATCGGGGGCCTATGGAAGAATCATGGATCCGTGTCTACACGTTCGTCTTTAGGGGAGCGGGGGCGGGGATGATAAATTGCTATAGGTCCCAGACTTGCCCCTTTAAATAAGCGGTTCGGCAGCTTTTGCCAAGTCATTGGGTTCCTCTCCGTTTTACCCATTCCCCTCCCCCACTAGGCACTGATTGGCCCTTGGAGAAGGGGCAGCCTCCTCATTGGTCTCTACCTTTGCAATCCCTTCTAAGTAGGCCTAAGTCTGAGAAAGGCTTCTGAGAGGCGGGACAGAATGGGGGTATTAGGCGGAGGTTGGGGTTCTTACCAGTTGACACTTTGGCACGACCCATCCCCTAGTTTCCGTCCACAAGTCTTGCTTCTACCCTCTGGTGAAGACTGTACTATGAATCTTGTTAGGAGGTTGCTGCTTGAGAGAATCTGTCTACGACTGGGACGAGACATACTCTAGGAGAAAAGTCTCCTGGTTAGAAAAGCCTCCACCCGCCAGGAGAGGAGGACTAGATCCCTCTAGTGAAAGCTAGCACTAGGCAAGGGGGGCAGTTCTCCCCTCCCCCAAAGCCTACAGGAGTCCTCATCCAATGGAAGAGCCTGCTGCCCTGGAAGCTGATTGCCACCGTCAGTTCTTCCCGCTCCTGCTGCTTCGCCTGCTCCAGCTTTCTCTAGAGAGCCATCGCCTCAATGCGCAGAAGCCAGCGAATCCGTTTTGGGGTAGTGTAAAAGAAGCACTCACGGCTCCCAAAAGGAGGGGCTGTAGCCCTTTAAGGACTTCGCCGGGATGGATTCAGAAAGGAGTTTAAAAATGCCAACTCACAGAGCGCGCTGGATTCTGGGAACGAGGTGTCAGACCGAGAACTACATTGACCAGTGTGCACTGCAAACACACACGCCTTCACTTCCTTCTGCTCTTTAGGACTCTGGTTTGACGTAGCGCTCTTCAAAGCAAGAGGCCTTAGGCGGAGGGCTCAGCCACACCCTTGCATGTATTGGCGAGCTCCTGAGCTGGTGGGCGTGGCCTAGCGCAGCTCCACCGGGCAAGGGGGTGGCCTCCTTGCCAATCAGAGCTAAGACGGCCGGAGAGGCGGGACCTGGGCGAAGCGCTGGCGCCCCCAAGTGGGTGTGGTCACGCTGCCCAACAGTGGGCGGTGATTGGCCCTGGGTGGTGCAATCGCGGCTTGTGCGTCACGACGCCGCCAGCTGATCGGAGACTGGAGCCGGTGTGTGCTGGGCGCAGGGAAGACACAGCGCCGCCGGCCGTGGGGGATGGACGCACTGATTTGCTCCCTTACCCTCAGCAACCCCCCGCACCCAGGACCAGGTGGGTGTGAGCTGGGGTCCCGGCCGCACTGGAGGGAACCATGCAAACGGGGTAATGGGGGGAAGTAGGGTCCTGGTGGCCACACCCTGCCCTTCCGGGGGAGGGGTGAGGGGGCGGCGGGGGCAGGGAAGCTCTTGGGGAGAGGGGTCTGGACTGGCTGGAGTAGTGTGGCAGGAGGTTTCAAGAGAGTCCGGGATGACAGTCGTGGCGGAGGGTTTGGCGGAGTGACTAGGCGCTAGACGAGGGGCTAGAGGGCTGGGGTCAGCTAACCTCGGCGCCCCCTGGTCAGAGGATACGGGAACTAGCTTCCCAGCTTGAGGAGGGTTTGGACAGGGCGGGTAGCGGGGAGGTAGTTTTCCTCGACTGGCAGGCAGTTGATCAGGCCCAGTTGAGAGCCCTGGCAGGGAAGGGGTCTCTGGGCGGGCCGGCCCCTCCTCTCGTTCTCTCCAGGGGATGTTATGTAAGGGGGGAGGGGAGAGGAGTAGGGGGCGGCGGTGCGGGGGCCTTATGCAACCCAAAGGTTAGGGTTTCACCGCGGTTGGTGGGGGAAGCGGGCTGGAGGAGGACCTGGAAACTCTAACCACCCCCCCTCCCCAGCCTAACTGGCCGTCTTGGGCCCAGAGAAGGTCACCTCTGCACCTCCCCCCAGCATGTCCGGTTGTGGGGCCCCTAGCCCAGGCCTGGCCCTGACCGCCTGGGAAGCCGGCTGGCTGGGTGGGGCGCCTGGGTTAGTCATCACTGGGCTCCCTCTCTCCCCACCTCTCGGCCAACTCTTGGCCCCTCCCTATGGCCTCTCGCTAGGCTATCGCCCCCACCTCCCTCCGGCCCTAGTTCCAGCCTCCAACTCATTTGGCCTGTCATCCTGGCTGTCAGACTGGGCTAGGAATTGTCAGGGTGCCAAAGGGTTGATGGAGCAGCTGGTCAGAGGGTCAGTGCCCTGGGCCCACCCCGCCCTGCAGCCAAGGGCACCTGCTTGGCACAGACTCTGAGCAGCCGTTGAGTCCTATGGGCTGAACAGAGCTGGCTCAGACAGAGGAGAGTGGGAAGGAGTTGGACTGGTCACCTGGGGGAAGGAAGATACCACAAAGTTCATGTCTCCCAAGAGGGTTTTTGTAATTTGAAAACCTTCCACCCCCACCGTAATCTTTCTTACCCTCTGAGTATACAAGTCTCAAGACAAGACTGCCTCGGCCTCTCAGTGGCATGGGCCATGCCCTTGGACTGAGTGTCCCCAGAGACCCGTCCTCCCCAGCTCTGGCCCACAAGACTGCCACGCCCCCAGCCCCCTCCCTAGGCCATGCTGCAGGGCCCGGCTTTTCCTGCTGATTCATGCGTTGGAACTGTGGGGGCGGGGCTTGGAACTTGGAACAAAGTTCAGACACGGAGGGGCCGGCAGACAGCCTGGAATTCATACCAGATGTACCCGGAATGCGCAAGCGGAATGCCTGGCATTTAAGAGTCTTGGGGAAGCTGCCCGTCCACCCTGCCCATACTTCCCTCCCCTCCAGCCTTTGGTCCCCTGTCCTCTCCCCACAGTCCCTGGAGCCTCTGCTGACCTTCCAAACTCTAGACCTCTTCCCTTCCTCACTCTTCGCCAGATGTAGGCCCCCCAAACTCTTCAGCTGAACTCCCTGGGAACAGGTCAGTTGGGCTGATCACTGAACTCACATTTCTGGATCTAAGGTACAACTTCTCACCTGGTACCTGGGCAACTGGTGGAGTGTGTCCAGGTCTCTAAGTCCTGCCCTCTCTGAATGCTGAAGAGGCTGGGCCCTCCATGGATAGCTGGGGCAAGGAGGGGTGAGAGCAGGCATGAGTCTCTACAGCCTTCAGTTCTGGAAGGAGGTGCAAGGAAGTCTGTTTAGAACTGCCTCTTGCTTCTTACTGAAGTTAACCACTCCTGCGGGCCCAGGTCAGAGGCAAGAAGCCTTTGTTACAGGTTGAGCATCTGTTGGAGCTGGATTTTGATGGCCAGTGGGACAGTGTCCCTGTAACATGGCCCTGCTCAGATCCTTCCCATTTTTCTTCCCTTTCCTTTTAGGAGCCTGTCCCTCCCACACCCTCATCTGGCTGAGCCGCAGTAGTTCTTCAGTGGCAAGCTTTATGTCCTGACCCAGCTAAAGCTGCCAGTTGAAGAACTGTTGCCCTCTGCCCCTGGCTTCAAGGAGGAGGAGGAAGAGAAGAAGAGGCTGCTTTCCCCTTCATCTGGAAGGTGACAGAACTGGGGCTGGGAAGGTCTGAACAGCGGGAGTAATAATGCCATTTGGAAAGGGGAACCTTGTTCAGAGCCTTCAGCCAGACTGACCCAGCAAGAGAGAACAATTTTAGATTAAGACTCTGGTTGGATGGGGGAATAGATGACTGTGATCACTCAAGGTTAGTTGGTCTACATTGATGTGACATGGCGAAGATAAGAGGAGCAAAGAAAACTGTCTACCCCTTTACCCAGATGTCTTTCTTGGTCCTCCTCCTTTGTGTCCTTTTCTTCCCTACTGCCTTTCCAGGGAGGTCCTAAGTAAATTTATTCTTCAGGGAAAAGATCATACTGAAACTCCCATCTGAGTAGTCATCTCCATGCTCTTACTTTTCCCTTTATTTTCTTATACTGGCTTAGACTCTGGATTCAGGGATAATCACCTATATGTTGGACTCTTAGACCTCTTGTCTCAGCTTCTCCACCTGTGAGATGGGAAATCACATACGTATGCAGAAGGGAATCAGAAGCCTACTTCTGCAGACTACTCAGAGCCTGGGCTCTCCTCTCCCTGTGGGTAGGAACAAAACTTAAGCTGTTGCTCCTCCCCCCATCCCTGAACACTCTAACCCAAGGAGGGTAGTGGGGGAGAGTTAGAGGGAGAGGCTCAGTCCCTACAGTGATGTCCCATCATGCAAAGGTGGCCCCTGGCTTCCTCTACCACCCAAAACAGGACTGCAGCCACTGATGGGGTTCCAACTATTGTTCCTCCGTTTCTTCCCTCACTTTACTTTCTAGGATAGTTTGTGCAGGCAGGAAATTATCTCCAGCAACCAGGAGAGGTGGGTTGTGGGGTGACCCCCTTTGTTGCATCAAGCAGTGTAAACCTACCACCCCCAGCTCCTGATGCAGTCTAACTCTTGTGGCTCAGGCTCTGGTGTAGTTCAACCATGGCGCAGTCTCCCTGCCTGAAGGTGGCCAAATTCAGAAGCTGCAGGAAGCTATCCTGTAGTGGGACAAGAGGCGTTGAGGTAGCTGGGTTTTATTCTCTATCTATGAGAAACAGATTTAGGAGAGTAGATCATTGAACCCACCCTTCTGCAGCCTGAGCTGGATGTGTGTGGGACTGTGGTGGAGGGGGTGGGTAGACTGAGTCTACTCATAGTCTGCAACAAAGATTGCTCTGTCCCTGGACATTGCTTCCATCCTTTTTTCCCCTCCCCGCTTCACTGGCCACAGTGTCTCCCTCCAGCTCTGGGTATGTGGCTCTGCCATCCTCACCCATCATGAAGCAAAGATGAGGAAGAGCAGCCTGGGAACGCAGGCAGGCAGAAGACCAGTGAAGGACCAGGCCTGGAGAACACAGGGCCCTGTCTGGGCACCCCACAGAGGGGACCCATAAAGGCCAGGAGCACTCCAGGAGGGAGGACAGCCAGCCTCCATCAAGGACAAGCTCCCAGCCTTCTGCTTCATTCACTATTTCTCTCCAGTGTTACTTACTGCCTCCCTCAGAGATATGAGACTGTATTAAAGTGTCCTGTGGCTTCATCCACCTACTACTACCTTCCTACCCTGTAGTTTTTGTTTTGGTTTTGGTTTGTTTTTTTACCCTGTAGTTTTTATATAAAGCAGCCTCAAGGAGCAAGAACCAGCTGTGAAAGGACATACACAGGAAATGCATAGAAGAAATTCAAATGGATAAAACCATGAAAAACAATGTATTTCATTAGGTAATTAAAGAAAAATATAGCTGAAAGCATTTTTTCCTTAGCAAATTATATTTTTTTAAAAAGAAAATCCCAGTATTGGCAAAGAAGTACTAAAATAAGACTCCTATACATTGCATATCGGCATGCAAATTGTTATGGCCTTCCTGGATGTCAGTTTGGTAATATGTCTCAAACACTCTAAAAGTTTCCATCGCCTTTGACTTAGTAATTCTACTTTTGAGGACTTATCCTAAGAAAATAATTAACAATTTAGTTACAAGATGGTCATCCCAGTATTGCAATAGAGAAAATGAGAAGCAACTGTCTGATTGAGAATTCATTTCTTTTCTGCTGTAATGAAAATTTGCAATGGGGGATTGCTTAAGTAAATCATTGTATATCCATCCAGATGGTGGAGTACTGCATAGCCATTAAAAGTCATGCAGAAAAACATTTGACTGGAAAGAAAAATGCTCTTTGAATATTAAAAAGTTTATTAAAATAGTGTGTTATGTGATCTCAATTTTGGTTTTTAAAATATGGGTGTATTGGGACGCCTGGGTGGCTTAGTGGTTGAGTGTCTGCCTTTGGCTCAGTTCGTGATCCTGGGATCGAGTCCCACTTCGGGCTCCCCATAGGGAGCCTGCTTCTCCCTCTGCCTAAGTCTCTGCGTCTCTCTCCCTGTGTCTCTCATGAATAAATAAATCTTCAAAAAAATAAAATATAGGTATATTGTATACATAAATGAAAAAGACAAAATGTTAATAATAGTGGTTATCTTTGGACAGTGGAACAGAGTCATTGTGATTTTCCTCTGACTTTTCTGTAGTTTTAAAACTTTCTACATTGTATGGTTTTCATATAATAAAATTTAAAATAATCAGTGTAATTTTTTTTCAAAAGCTGGGAGAAGTGAGTGTGGAGGAATGAAGGGGATGCTCCTCGCCCCTTGGACATAATGGGGTTTTGGTGAAGAAAAGGGGTGGTGAGAATGTGGAAAACTTCATTCTCTAGGAGTAGCTGGAATCTGCCCTCTCCATGTATGGGAAACAGCTCTCTGAATTGCTGGCTTTCAGCCAGCTAAAGAGGTGTGGAGTGGAGTAAGGAAAACAGTAAAAACCTGTCACTCTTCAGGAGATGGAAGGGGAGGGGGCATATTTTCCTCTCCAGGCTGAAAGGTTCTAGAATCCTATCAGTCTTTGTTTTTCTCTTTGATTCTGCCCCAACCTTGAGGCGACCCTGTGTGACCTCTCCTTTTGCCTCAGATTGGAAGAGTGAATTCTATTCACCTAACTTGTACCTAGCCCTGGGGGGAGGGGTGCTTTTCAAGTCTTAGGTCCTGAGAGGTTTCCTTTTGCCTCTCCTTTCTAACAGCAAGGCTGTAGGGAACCCAGAAGCGGTTGGGGGGAGGAGTCCCCAGTGGATCGCTTCTCCAAAATGGGAGCTGTTGTTCCGTTTGAAGGTACTGTGTAAGGGAACAGGACTGTTGTAAGTATAGGGTTGCTATGATGTGTTAAAGGTCTAGAAACCTCAGGAGGTGGAAAGGGTGGCTCCGAGGAAGTGAGATGCCCCCACAGCTGAGACTCGGGGATGGTGCGGGGCAGAGCGGTGGCTACGTTTAAGAGGGAGTGGGTGTGCGCTGGCCTCTACCCTCGGGTCGATGAGTGTGCCGTGGGAGGGACGACCAGCAGGTGAGAGGTTAGCGTAGGGAGAGGAGGTGAAAGACAATGGGGCGGGGGCTGTGCGAGCGTCAGGTGAGATTAGTGACCTATTTTTGGAGCTCCGAGGGGTTTGGGACACGTGGCGTTGGGGAAGACCCCGTCCCGGAAGTCCCCCCGAGCTCTATTGCAAGGCTTGGTCCCCCGGGGAAGGCCCTCGGTTGGAAGCCCCCAACCCTCCAACCCCCGCTAGGGCGGGACGCGATCGGATGCGGTGGCTCCGGGGCGTGGCCCCACGGCTGCTCCAATCACCACCTAGCCGAGTGATGGGGGCGTGGTCGAACCCTGGAAAAGTTACAGGGGATTCCGCAGGCGTAGTGGGCTGGGGAAGCGGAGGACCGGTTCTTGCCGCGAGGTCTATTCGCAGTCCCCGCAGCAGTCCTCGCAGCTGGCATTGGATGAGTCCGGGCTGAGAGCGCAGGGGTCCAAGAAACTGAACCGGACCTAGCCCGCCCACCAGGCCATGGAGCCCTGGGGGCTCCTCGTGACCAGCGTCTCCTTCGCCGCCTTCCGGGGGCTGCACTGGGCGCTGCAGCTGCTGCCCACGCCAGGATCTGCTGCCCAGGACCGTTGGAAGTGGCGGAACATCTGTGTCTCCCTGGTGCACAGCCTGCTCACAGGGGTCGGGGCGCTGCTCGGGTGCGGAGTATAGAGATTTGGGAGGCACCTGGGTGAGGGTGAGGGGTGGAAAGCTGAGATTAAGAGACCCGGCGGGCCTCTTCACAATGGAAGTGTCCGACACTGGGTGGGGTGTGTGAATGGGCGGGTGAGCGTGCACAGCGGGAGAATGGGGTCTGAGTCTGCTTGATGCTAACCATGGCCCCCCATCTCCTACAGGCTGTTGCTGTATCCTCAGATGGCTGCCGACCCGATTCACGGCCACCCGCCCTGGGCCCTGGTGCTGGTGGCTGTGTCGGTGGGTAAGTCTGCAGGGAAGGCCAGGCCGGTTAGTCGGGGAGCAACCTTCCAATGGTAATTCCAGGTCGCCTTTCCCCTCTCCATAGGGGTCCAATGTTTCTGGCAGCTTTGGTTATTTTAAAGACCTAGGAAAAGGTGGGGATGAAGGTTCCTCTCCAAGAGGTATAACTTGGGAGAAGCCTAATGCCCCTCCCCCCCTCATGCCACTCCCATAGGTTATTTCTTGGTGGATGGACTTGACATGCTGTGGAACGAGACCTTGGGCCAGGCCTGGGAACTTATTTGTCATCATTTGGTGGTGAGCTTCAGGGAAAGGTGACACAGGAAGGGTGGTATGCTGGGGCTGGGTCTTCAATCTCTCTTCAGGTTTCTGTCCAATGACTTCCCAGAGTCTCTGACCCCTGTTGGCACCTGCCCTCCCCAACCTAGGACTGGCTTGAGGGGCAGCAGATTGACTGCTAGCCACAGCTAGAGTCTGAGCACTGCCTAAGTGGCTTGGATTCGCTCACGTGTCCCATCTGATTGCAGAAATGTTGCATATGGAGCTTTTCTGAGGAGCCCCAGTAGAGGGAATGGGAATGGGGCACAAAAGCCCAGGAATGGAAGGCGGGGGGGGAGTACTGCGCAGATGCTGCTGCTGCACCAGGGGAGACAACCACTGGGTCATGGCTCCTCCCATCCAATGGAAGGGTTAAGGCCATTCAGGCCCCAACATAAGGGTAAGTTTAAGGGCAGATTTTGACACGGTGCCACAAAAATGCTTGGGAGCCCCTGTCTTAAGGCCTGGGATGTTGGTACATAATGGGTGGGAGGTCATAGAAGGTCCTCTGACCTCTGACCCCGGTTCCCCAGGTAGTGAGCTGCCTCAGCACTGCCATTCTGTCCAGCCACTATGTGGGCCTCTCTGTGGTGTCTCTGCTCCTGGAGCTGAACTCTGCCTGCCTGCACCTACGAAAATTGCTGCTGCTTTCTCACCAGGCCCCATCCCTGGCCTTCAGTGTGGCCAGCTGGGCCACGCTGGCCACCCTGGCCCTCTTCCGCCTAGTGCCTCTGGGGTGGATGAGTATGTGGCTGATCCGACAGCAACACCAGGTGCCCCCTCCTCTGGTCATCCTTGGTGGAACTGGGCTGGTCACTGTGGGTGCCATAAGCATTGCACTGGGTATCCGTATTTTGGTCAGTGATGTCCTGCAGTCTCGGCCCCACTCACCCATCCCTGGGCACAAGGAAACCAGAGGCACAAGGGGATGTTGTGATGGTGAGCTTGTCACCAGGGAGGATTCCACTCTCAGCCTGCAAGACTAGAGAGAAGCCAAGGCTCCCCTTCTGTTAGTCCTGAGGGAGGCAGGGCCAGGAAAAGGAGATTGTGGTCTACAGTGCACAGTCCCTCAAAGGGTTAAGGACTGGACTGAATTTTCAGTATCTCAGCCCCTCTTTCCAAGTAACCCACTCCCCTCCCCCATTCCTAGAATTGGAGAAGTGCTGATGTTCTTGGATGGGTGGGAAACTGGGCTATTATTGTTCAGTGAATTCCATCATCAGATGACTGCTTCTTCCAGCAAACTAGCTCAAGAGGGATAGCCAGTGCTACCAATAAGGGGTGACAGGAGGCGTGAAGTTAAATGAAACTGCCAATGGCATCCTTTACCTTAAACACAGGAACAGATGAAGAAAGGTGAAGTCCTATTAGGACCAGAGAGATCTGATGGGGAGGGGGTGGATTCAGAGGGAAGAGAGGCCTCACCAACGACCAAATTCTAACAGTGGGAGGAGGCCATAACAGGTGCTACCTGTAGCTAGTAGGGATGGACATAATAGTTGCCAAGAAACAGAACTGGACCACTACAATTGCTGCTGATATTTCTGGTTCTCAAAGTCATACTACTGTGTTTATACTCAATGCTAGTCCTACTGCCTTTTACATTTTTTAAAAGTCCGATATCTGCCTTTTAAAATTTCTTACTGTCTTTCAAAGAAAATGCAGATTCTTAAAGGAATGAGCTAGGTCTGTCTTCTTAGGACAATATTGAAGTCCAGAGCCATAACAGGAACTCAAACATTCATTCTGGGTGCCAAGTGTAGCGTTTTCCATTGGCCTTTTGTGGAAGAAGGAAGGCAGAGACAGAGGTAGATGAGGGAAGGCTTCCATTTGGCGGCAGAGGGATTAAGGAATATCTGACTCTCTTCTGGGATTCATTTGCAAGCTCTCCCTCTCCTTTCTCCCTTGCCACTTTTTTTTTTTTTAGAGGGGTGGGGCAGTGGGAGAGAATCTTAAGCAGGCTCCATGCTCCACACTGAGATTGTGACCTGAGCCGAAATTGAGAGCCAGATGCTCAACTGACTAGCCACCCAGGTGCCCTGCTCCCCAAAGACTTCTGCTTTTTTTTTTTTTTTTTTGGTCCCCTACATCACAAAATCTCTCCTTCAGGCAGAACAGCCAAGTTATGGGAAATGTAAAGCACATTAAGATTACTATTCTAAACAATGGACAGAAGGAGATAACCCTTATTACCCACAGAAAAGATAAAGGAGCAAAAGCAAGAAACAGGAAGAGTAAAACAAACAAACAAAAAAATTCTGCCCAAAAGCTAAGCTAGAGAAAGACAAATGGGATGATAGGAACATACATAGATTGAGGGATGGATAGAAAGAAAGAGAAGGTCACCTGAATAGAAGAGACAAAGCTGAAGAGAGATGGAGAGCAAGACACGGAACCTTTGGTAGAGATGTTGAGAAAGTCTGTCATGGATGCTGACAGGAACTAAAGTCACAGAACTGGTAAAATGGTCATAAACAAAGAGAATAAGAAAACTAGAAATAAAAGCTGACAGGAAGGGACCCCAAGGGGGCAAGGCACAGATGGTCTAGGCAGAGAAACAGTGAGTGACAAGGAGGAACGACCAGACTCAGGAGAGATGTAGGTAAGAGAGGCATTTAGAGAAGTTGGCAGAGAGAAAAGAGAGGGAGAAATAGAGATGAGGGGACTTAGAGGAGCTGAGGAGCAGGACAGGGAGTGGAGGAGGCACTCAATGGAAAGATTCACTGACAGAAAAAGAAAGTAGAAACTATGTTGAGTTGGAGACAGGCAGGAAGACAAAGGACAAACAGCTACAGTGCAAAACACAAAGACAGAGACTGACAGGAACTGATAGGCAGAGACTGGTAGGAAAATCAAGAGAAGTCAGATTCAGGGTTGTAAATTGAGATAGAAGAATAGGAAAAGGGACTGAGGAGAACCACAGAGGGGGAAACAAGTTGGGGGAGGCACAAATGATTAAATAAGCATCCAAAGAAAGGGGGCACCTGGCTGGCTCAGTCATAGAGTATGTGTGATCTCAGGATTGTGAGTTTGAGCTCCACGTTGGGTGTAGAGATTACTTTAAAAATCTGAAAACAAAACAAAAACAGACCCCAAACAGATAAAAACATACAAAAGAAGGAACAAAGGAAAGGAAGAAACAGATGAAGAGAGGAAGAAAGAATAGAGAGAGGGAAAAAATGAGGGAGGAATTGTGAGAGGTGCCCATCATAGAATCGTTAAAGTACAAAGGAAAGAGTAACAAATAGAGACTGACAAGAAGTTGCCACAGTATAGGCAAGAAATAAGAGCAGAGATAACACATGTAATCAGACAAAAGCCAGAGAGGCAAAGGTATAGAAGTTGAGATAGAGAAACAAAGTAGAATTCCATCACAGTGTTTGTCCTTAGTAGAAATAGTGTCTTCAAAACTCAATTTGCCATCTTAGCAGAATGTCCTGATGAACAAAAAAACATTGTCTTGAGCTTTCAAAGAAAGAGAAATATGTCAAATCCATCGTAGAAATTTGTTCCCTAGGGGTGCCTGGGTGGCTCAGTCAGTTGAGCATCTGCCTTCAGCTGGGGTCATGATTTCAGGGTCCTGGGATGGAGTCCGAGTAGGGCTCCCCACTTAGCAGGGAGTCTGCTTCTCCCTCTACCCCTACCACTACCCCTGGCCTTCCACTGCTTGTGTGCACTTGCTTTCTCTCTCTCAAATAAAAATCTTTCAAATAAATAAATAAAATTTTAAAAGATTTTATTTATTTGATAGAGTAAGAGAGAGAGCACAAGCAGGGGGAGCGCAGGCAGAGTAAGAGGGAGAAGGAGGCTCCCATTAACCAACTGAGCCACCCAGGTGCTCCAATAAATGAATTCTTTTTTTTTTTTAAAGATTTTATTTATTTATTCATGAGAGTACAGAGAGAGAGAGAGGCGGAGACACTGGCAGAGGGAGAAGCAGGCTCCATGCAGGGAGCCTGACGTGGGACTTAATCCCAGGACTCCAGGATCATGCCCCGGGCCAAAGGCAGGCGCTAAACCACTGAGCCACCCAGGGATATCCCCCCCCCCTTTTTTTTTAAGGAATCTGTTCCCTAAGTATATGTTGAGGTCAGTGGTCAATATTGATTCATTCCAAGCCCTGCATGTTTTCTTTCACCACTGTCATAAATTCATAGTTCCAGTGAGTACACCTGCAGATAATAGTTGATAGTGGGATCCCTGGGTGGCGCAGTGGTTTGGCGCCTGCCTTTGGCCCAGGGCGCTATCCTGGAGACCTGGGATCAAATCCCACATCGGGCTCCCTGCCTGGAGCCTGCTTCTCCCTCTGCCTGTGTCTCTGTCTGTGTCTCTGCCTCTCTCTCTCTCTCTCTGAATAATTTTTTTTAAAAATCTTAAAAAAAAAACAATTGAATAAGGAGATATCTCATTGAGTAGGCCATTATAGATGGTGTGGACCAGATATAGATGATGGATCTTACAGAGGCATGGTCAGTGCCTAGAAAAGAGAAGCTCAAAGATGCAGAGTTTAGCAAATGCTACATTTGGTGCAATGAAGTGGGTCACGGTGGCAGTGATCTATCAGACCTCACCATGGCCTACTGAAGTGGTCCTCAAGACTGGCTCCATGCCTACTGAGCTACTGGCTGATGAATTGTCTTCTGCCATAGGAGAGTGGCTTTCCTGGATGGAGGACATTGGTATTTTATGGTCTTGAAACACTATCCTGATCAAAAACTAATAAAGTGCTATGCAAATAATGGCATCAGTCTTTTGTGAATGTGGTCTCTATGAGTCCCTTCTTCTTGGCTCTAGTGGTCTGATTTATAATGAAATGCTGGATTGTGGAAGCTCTGCCTTGGGAAGATCTCTTCTTGGCACCAACTTATTGACCTAAAAGCCCTAAAGTGTTCAAAGATCCTCCACTATCAAAAAGCAAACCCAATTTATTCAGTAGAATGGGCTTAGAGCAAGTGAATGGATTCAGACAATTTAGAGTGATTTTCAGTGCCAGAGTTTGAAACCAAAAGAATCTTTTAGCCAAGTTAATCCTGAGTTAACAAGAAAATTAAACAGAAATCTCCATAACTGAGTTGTCAAGGCTTTATTTTATGTAAAATATAGATTTGTCAGGCTGAAAATTATGAGCCTCATTCAGCAGGAAATTACATAAGGGAATAAGGGAAGTTATTCTTTACAGAGCTGCTCTTGATCCTGGGCCCAGGGTTCGAGTTCTGCATTGGGCTCCCTGTGAGGAGACTGCTTCTCCCTCTGCCTGTGTCTCTGCCTCTCTGTGTGTGTCATTCATAAATAAATAAATAAAAATTTTTTAAAAAAGAGCTGCTCTTGTATTGAAATGTTTAGCATCACAAACTTAAAGCATCTAAATAAATAAATAAATAAATAAATAGTCAAAGCATCCCAAGCTGAATGTTTGTTGTGCTGCTACCATATCAGTCACCTTTTATACTTTATCCTGTTTAACCCCACCTAATAGAGACTAATCCCATTATTTAGATGAGAAAACTGACATTCAGAGAGATTAGATAATTTGCTCAGGATTACCCAGCTAGGGGATCCCTGGGTGGCGCAGCGGTTTGGCGCCTGCCTTTGGCCCAGGGCGCGATCCTGGAAACCCAGGATCGAATCCCACATCGGGCTCCCGGTGCATGGAGCCTGCTTCTCCCTCTGCCTGTGTCTCTGCCTCTCTCTCTCTGTGACTATCATAAATAAATAAAAATTAAAAAAAATAAAAATAAATTAAGGATTACCCAGCTAGTTAGTGACAGGATCTGGACTCAACCTTTTTTTTTTTTTCCATTGCATCACTTGTGGCCAACTATTTTTGCCTGCCTAGCAGTGTACAGATTTTCCTTTGAGAACCACCCCTCTCTCACTCCCCTGTCAATGGGCATGTGACCTAGGGCTAGCCAATCAAAACACCATATCCTCTCCCCCCCCCCCCAAATGAGTTCATGACAGGTAAGCAAAGCTTATGAGCCTCAGCACCTTGACTTCTGCTAGAACTTTTGGCTAGGATACACTATATGTGCTGACATTGCTAAGCCAGGGAGGATGTAAGAGGGCTTCCCTGAGCATGAAGCCAGCACAGAAAGAGGGGTCACAGATGGAGATTTCTATCATCTGGCTCTCTAGATCAGTCTCTGCCTGAAGCCAGAACTTTGCCTGGACAATTCAGTTACATGAGCCAAAACATTCCTGATTTGCATAAGAGTATGGGTTGAGGTTTTTTCCCCACTTAGATGGTGAGTCTTTGTTCATGCATCACCTGTAAAGCCTATCCAGTCTTATTATTTCATTTTGCAGATAATTGAAACCGAGCAAAGTTAAGTGACTTATCCATGCACGCCCGGCTAATTTGTGGGATGGCCAGAATTAGAATCCAGGTCTTTGCTTTGGTTCAGGGCTCTTCCTTCTACACTACATCATCTTTCTTTATAGAAAGGCTGAGGAGTAGAGAAACTTCAAAGTCAAAAGATAGGAACTACCTGACAACTGGTCAATCAAGTCAGATAAATTGCCACTGATTTCTTTCCTTTTCTTATTCTTTTTTTTTTAAGATTTTTTTTTAAGATTTTATTTATTTATTCATGAGAGACACAGAGAGTGAGCGAGAGGCAGAGGGAGAAGCAGGCTCCATGCAGGGAGCCCGACATGGGACTCGATCCCAGGTCTCCGGGATCAGGCCCTGTCCTGAAGGCAGTGCTAAACCGCTGAGCCACCGGGGCTGCCCCTTTTTTTAAGATTATAAAGTCAGGATGCTTCAGTTTGAAAGCCAGACTTATATTGATTGATTTCGATGCTTTTCAGGAACGCAGAAACTGCAGGGCAGAGGTCCATTATCAGCTTTCCCCTAAGAACAAGAATACCACCTAATTCTATGTTGTGAGCATATTCTTTCCCTACCTCTAATCTGGTGGGAAACAAATATTCACTTGCTACATCTTCTGCAGGAGCTGAACACAGTAGTGATTCTCAGACCGAGTGAGCTCTTTCAATGGAAGTAAGGGTGTGAGCTGAATGGCCTTTAGGAATAGAAGAATGGGGGGATCCCTGGGTGGCGCAGTGGTTTGGCGCCTGCCTTTGGCCCAGGGCGCGATCCTGGAGACCTGGGATCGGATCCCACATCGGGCTCCCAGTGCATGGAGCCTGCTTCTCCCTCTGCCTGTGTCTCTGCCTCTCTCTCTCTCTGTGTGTGTGACTATCATAAATAAATAAAGAAAAAAAAAGGAATAGAAGAATGGGGGCATCTGGGTAGCTCAGCAGTTGAGGCGTCTGCTTTCAGCTCAGGACATGATCCCAGGGTCTGGGGATCAAGTCCCACATCGAGCTCTGCAATGTCAGGATCCCTGCAAAGGGCTCCCTGCCTACCACCACCCAACCCCAAAAACACTCTGGGGTAGTATTGGACATTCCAGGGATAATAAGTGATTTCTTGGGCTTAAACTTTGCTCCTCTCATTCTGGCCTCTCTGCCTGTGCCCTTGAAAGGACTCATTTGAAAATAAATAAATAATAAATAAATAAATAAATAAATACATACATACATACATACATACATACATACTCATTTGGGGGCACCTGAGTGGCACAATGGTTGAGCATCTATCTGCCTTTCCCTCAGGTTGTGATCCCAGGGTCCTAAGATTGAGTCCCACATCAAACTCTCTGCAGGAAACCTGCTTCTCCCTCTGCGATATCTCTGCCTCTCTCTCCCTCTCTGCTTCTGTCTCTCATGAATAAGTAAATAAGAAAGAAAGAAAGAAAGAAAGAAAGAAAGAAAGAAAGAAAGAAAGAAAAGAAAGAAAGAAAGAAGAAAGGATTCCTTTGCCTCCTTGAACTTCACTAATTGGCATTGCTAATCCTGGGGGCTGAGAACCTGGCACAGTGTTTGCCCTGGATCCCAGGTCGGGGCATGGTTAAGGAAGGACTGAGAAGTCTGAAGAACTGGAAGGCCACAGAGTCCTAGAACAGCACTGCGACTCTGCTGGTTACTTGTTCCCCTCCACAGTTTGTCTGAACATTATCTGCTTCAAGCTCCTGCCCTTTCTTCCTTAAGCCCAGCTCTTCCCCAAATCCAAAGGTGGAAACCCTGACAGCAGGCAAGGGTGAGGGGCTGGGGAGATCAGGGGATGGGGATGGGGCAGAGAAACAGGGGGCATTGCCTGGGTAGGGGACTTACAACAGCACTTCCTTGACATATATTGAATTTTAGAAATTCATATGAACTTTGCATTCTGCTTCAAAGTCTCTTCCTATGTTTTCATATAAAATACCACGACCCCCGGATCATGCCCTAAGCAGAAGGCAGATGGCCATCCACTAAGCCACCCAAGTGTCCCTTGATTTTTTTTTGTCTTTTTTTTTTTCTTTTTTGTCCCTTGATTAAAAAATTTTTTTACAGGGGTGCCTAGGTGGCTCAGTTGGTGAAGTGTCAGACTCCTGATTTTAGCTCAGGTCATGATCTCAGGGTCATGAGATCGAGCCCCATATCAGGCTCCATGCTGAGCATGGAGCCTGCTGGAGATTCTCTCTCTTCCTCTTCCTCTACCCTTCCTCCCCCCAACTCTCTTTCACGTGTGTGCATGCACACACTCTCTAAAAAATAAATAAGTCTTTTTTAAAAAGATTTTATTTATTTATTCATGAGAGAGAGAGAGAATCAGAGACACAGGCAGAGATAGAAGCAGGCTCCATGCAGGGAACCCGATGCAGGACTCCATCCCCAGACTTCAGAATCACGCCCTGGGCCAAAGGCAGGTGCTAAACCGCTGAGCCACCCAGGAATCCCCAATAAATAACTCTTTAAAAAATAAATAAAATAAGTATTTTTTACAAAATGTCAAGGGAGATTGTCAGTTTTACCATCCAGGAAGATGTGCCATTTTATTCTGTATCTCCAACTATCACTGGCACACTTCATTTTTCTTTATTTCTCCTTTCAACAAGTATTTATAAAGTATTTATACTGTTGAATAAACAAGCCAAATCCCTGGTTATGGGAAACCTGCAACCAGGATTTTGTCAAGGTGGGAAATTGGAAAAAAAGAGTCATCCAGAGGAAGGAAGCTAGAAGTAAGAAATACAGAAATGGATCATCCAGAACAGAGAAAAACCAGCGATGTATAGAGGATGGGATTGTTGTATTCTGAGTTAGCTTGTCCAGATGCTAACTCAGGATCTTTCTTCCCAAACCTGCAGCCTTTCTAGGATTCTCCCAGTCTGTGCATAGCACTGCCATCAGCTCACTGTGTAAGTCAGGAATTTAGAATCATCCTCAAGGGATCCCTGGGTGGCGCAGTGGTTTGGCGCCTGCCTTTGGCCCAGGGCGTGATCCTGGAGACCCGGGATCGAATCCCACGTCGGGCTCCCGGTGCATGGAGCCTGCTTCTCCCTCTGCCTGTGTCTCTGCCTCTCTCTCTCTCTCTCACTGTGTGCCTATCATAAATAAATAAAAAAAAATTAAAAAAAAAAGAATCATCCTCAAGCATATCACCCCACCTCACACCCCATACTCACATATCTGATTAATCATCCAGTCTCAGTGGATTCCACATCCATTCATTCCTTTCTATCTCTGCTTTCCCACTCTGGTCAAAGTCATCGTCATCTTATTTTATTTTATATTTTATTTATTTATTCATGAAAGACAGACAGAGAGAGAGAGAGAGAGAGAGAGAGAGAGGCAGAGACACAGGCAGAGGGAGAAGCAGACTCCATGCAGGGAGCCGGACGTGGGACTTGA